CTGTACTTGTAGCATCAAAAGACTTTCAACAAAATCACTTACAATCAGTCACATGAATGTTCCTTTTTTTTCACACATGTGTGAACTGTAGAAGTGTTCAAAAGATCTAGCCAGCCTCCTGAGTGGCTGGCTTGGAAGCAGAAATTTGAAACTCTTGAAAATGAGCAATAGTGGTTGTTTGGAAAACCTGCTTTTAAAAATCACAAACCCATTAATTTCACTCTTCCACTTTGATCCTCTGAACAATTGATAATGTTCTGTGTTCTTTTGTTTTTTGTTATAAGAATCCGATTTCCTTTCCAGAGAAACTGCAATACCCACAAAGATGGCATTCCCCACGCGACCTCCGCTTATGCCAGGGGTGCCAATCTCAACAATGATGGGGACACCCTTTACCCTAGCACGTAGGTTCTTTTCAAATTTAAAAAATGATAATTCTTATATTATTAGTATCTCAACTACTGGATGTACTGCAAACTAAAGGGAAAGCAAATGCTATAGATATTTTGTAAAAATATTATCTCTTGTGATTCATGTTATAGCATGTCCATAATTTATGTTTTTAGTTTTGTACTTATTGATCAGGAATTGAAATGAGATGACTTACATTGGTTTCAATTTTTCTCTTATCTCTTTCAGCTAATATTGTGCCAGCAGTTGGCATTCCCATATCACAGGTATATTCTGTTAGTTTATTGATTCTTTTACATAATTGTCAAATTGATAAATGATGTCACATGTTAAAGAAATGTGTCATATAGTTGAGGCTTATAGCAACCCATCCCACATCCTTGAGGAACACGGAGACTAATCCTTCTGATGCTATACCCCTAGATTCCTACACCAATCTCAAGCCGTCCTCAGATGCGCCCCATCACAACGAGCTCCACCAGTAAGCCCACGCAGAACACCACCACCAACCATGGAATAAAGCCGCCCAGCTACTCGAAACGACTTGAGTCATCAGGGCCGGCTGTAACGGTGTTTGTGGGCAACATCACGGAGAAAGCTCCTGATGTGATGGTGCGGCACATTCTCAACACATGTGGCACAGTGTTGAGCTGGAAGAGGGTTCAGGGGGCATCTGGAAAGTTACAAGGTATGAACCTCCAAGGAAGGATGTAACAAGTGTATATATTTTTTTATGTTGGTTACATTATGTTTATGTAATTTTGATGGTAATGATTTAGTTGATTTAGAAAATAAGTTCTAAAGAGAATCTGGTAAAAGATTAAAGTTTCAGACCTTTATGTTACTTGAATTATGCTTGTACTTAAAGTGCTTCTTGTAAACTTAGTTTCTTCTTGCAGCATTTGGATTTTGTGAATTTGGCAATCCTGATGCAGCTCTGCGGGCAATTCGCCTTCTTCATGATTATGAGATAGCGGAAAAGAAGCTGGTTGTCAAGGCAGATGCAAAGACCAAAGAAGTTCTAGAGGAGTACAAAGGTACAGATTTTGCAAGCATTTTGTCCGAGCATAACCACAACACATAGCTTCTGTGTATATCATGTTTGCATATAGATACAGAGAGATGAATAAAGTGATATGAATGTAGATGTTCCCCCCTTTTGTTTTTTTACAGTAGATTTAATTCATGTACTCCAAACAAAGGCAACATCTGTAAGTGTTTTCCATGGGCAGCATGTTTATATAAAGGTCCAAGCCTTTGTTGTGGCATGGCTCTCTAAATATATAGTCATGGTATATGGATGTAGACGTTTACAATAGCTCTGTAACATTGTATATGTATGTAGATAGCAATCATTGATGATGATTGTGCCACTATGTGTTTTGCCTTTAGATAAGTATTTTAGCATATGGAGTGGATTATATCATTTTTGCATTCATGATCTATTGCACAGAGGCTTCCTTCTAAATTTTCTTTTGTTTTTGACTTTTTGACTTTGTTATTGGTGTAAAGATTTAATCACTCCTGATTTTGGGAACTTCTGAAGAGGATTCCTGCATTTACCATCCAATGAGGAAGAAATTTCTAATAGTTTGGTGTATGCATTGCACAACCATAGTAACTGCAGAGGAAGAAGTGTTGCCTATATTTACCCTGTGTAGTCTCTTGTTTTTGGGAAAGGCCTGTTTTGATATAGGAAAATTGTTGGGTAAAGATACTTAACACATGCAGTTTATGAACGGTGAATGGCCTTGTTCTATTGAAGATAATGAATATACTTTTCTATTCAAAATTTCCAGGCAAAGTTTCAGATTTTCTACTGTTTGCAGTGCTATTCTTGTTAAATTATCTGGAATAGTGCTATTACTTATTTTGAAGCAGAACCATTATGATACCACAATTAAATTCATATTTGGAGAAAGTATGTATCTTTATAAAGTTGAAAGAATATTTTAATCAGAGTAAAGGGGTAAGGGGCACATTCTAAAAAAAGAAAAAGACAGTAATACATATTTACCTAATCATATTTCTTAGGTTTACCCTTTATTTCATGCCATCCTTCCCAAAATCAAACATAGGACGTTTAAAAATTCTAGTCAGTGAATTTGTATTTGTATTTGGTTTTAAGTATGATTAATGCATAGATCAACCTAGAGAGAGAGAGAAAAACAAAAAAACAAAAACAAACTTTCTATTGATATCTGTGGGCACCTCATTCTCCACGTTCTGCAACTTGGCATTTCTCTGTCAGCACTCTTGACTCCACTCTTTGTTTTATATTCTCTGTGAAAATGCTAAACAACACAGTAAACCTGTGCTTTTAAGATAACAGTAGTCTGCCCTGAGTTCCTGTTGTTCTCATTTGCTAACTTAAAAAACAAAACATCCACGACATCTTGGCCTCTTCTAGAATTCACATGATTTAATTTCTCATGTGATAATTTGCTCCTACTTTTCTCTTCCTATCCATGACAGAAAAGAGAAAAAAGGCCAAGCAAAATGGCGACTCATCTCCCTTGCAAGATGAGGTGGACGAGGGCGACGACTACCTGGATGAGGACATGAGGGTGGAGGACACAGCCGCCCTGAGCCGCATCAACAGCATCTTGGCCGACCACAAAAAGGATATCATGAATTACGTCCCACCTCCGAACAAGCACGACATGAGAGAGAAGAGGATGTCAAGGGTCCAGGAGAAGCTTGTTGCGCTCTCCAGTGGGGCCGACATCGCGAATATCCCCACCACAACCGTAAGTATAGTAGTGTCAACGTGAAGTGCTGATTGAACTTTAAGAAAGTTTGATTTGTGAATTTAGATGTTTTTATTTTTTCTTAAATATAGCAAGGAAAAGTAACAATTCTTGTGGTATAAATTTGGATTTCATTTGTTTGTGAATTTTTGTAACAGAGATCTCTTACAATTAGTACCTAGAAGCAATAGAGTAATTTTGTAAGGCAACTTTTTCCATCTTTAAAAAGATAGTGATAGAACAATAATTTCAACTATTTTCTTTATACCCCTAGAACTTAGATGACATGGAGGATGTGGAGGAGGGAAAGAAGGAGCTCATCACGCGTGAAATCACCCAATTCCGGGAACAAATGAAGGTATGGTACCCTAGCACTGGTTCCGTTCCTCGTCTAGGAACTTGGGCAGGCAGGAAGCATTGGATGCATTGCTTCAACCCTGAAATGCAATCTTTCGATATTGATCGGTGTCATGGATTCCAGTGAGTCGTTTACCGTCATGGGTACCGGATTATTTTTTTACTTTCTGATCTTAAATTGTCACTTCTCTTTCATATTTCATAACACGACGAGTGCAAGCATCAATGTCTCTGCTGCCCCAAGTCTAAATCAGTACATTATAAATTTTCTTTAATCCTCCCTTCTCTTAAAACAACTTACTATTATGTGGCATTATCAGCTTTTATGAGTTTAATGTAACCAATCAAGTACTTAATCTTCCTTTGATACAAGGAATGTTAATTGGATGCTTACATACCTCATAAGTGCTGCTCTTGGTTCACATTATATGTATATCAATTAAGTTTCCACATTGATTTGAAATAGTAATTTTACAGCTTTTGCTGTTGTCAGTTTTTTTGATTAAGCTCAAAAAAAAAAAAAAAAAAAAGCACTCAGTATGTGTTTATACATTTTAGATAAAGATATAAATAGACTGAAGTATTCCCCAGTTCTTGATATAGTGTGTATGGCCAAAATGTATGTATTACAATAATGAAGGAAGATGGAGCAGAATGCAACTCAGTGGATTTATGGCTGAAATTGTCTCGTGCAGAAGGAGCTAATTTGAGCCATATTTTTACACCCAGACTTGGCTTTTTTACTTCTCCAGTTGTACCTTTTAGGATAATTCTGAAAGAGACTTCCTTTTGCTTCCCTCCCCTACATTCTATTGTGAATCTCTTCCAGTTTAATCTGGCATTCTGTCAGGCCTTTAATTTCTCTTGCTTTTTGATGATTAAAAACAAAAAGACTTTAAGATAGAGAGACAGGAGTAATATATTTTTTTTGTGCATTAGCATAATCACTTGTAACTTGTATTTTTAAGATTATTTCGTTGATTATGTGAAATTGATAACCTAGTGTTTTTCGAAAAGAAGACACAAACATAATATGTAATTCTCAAACATAGGCAGTCATAGAGTTCACACGCGGGCAGACGACAACTGTCATGTATGTTTTGTGCCAGCGACGGTGAGTACAGCATCTAATAAAGCACTTTAGTTTGTAACAGAAACAAAAGTTTATTTTGGCTAAGGGCAAGGCAGTGCAGATATGCTTGCAGTGATTTTAGTATTTTGGCAGCCAGTCATGACAACTCTCTCCCCAAGGGAATTGACATGAGTGGTTGTCTCCCAGTGCCAAAAGTCAGTGCAATATTTCTGCTGCCTGTTGACAGCCAACTTTCTCACTCTTGAGATCTTACATCTGGTTTAGAATACCCCAAGAGAGTTGGTTCTGAGGAACGTATGGTTTGATTCCCACCAACCTTGCTTGGGGTGACTCAGCCATATGTTCGGCACCTCCTCCTCTGTGGTATGTTTTTTGTTTTTTTGTTTTTCTTTTATTATTATTATCATTATTATTATTATTATCATCATTATTATTATTATTAATTATTTTGAAGCGGACGTGTTACCTGTAGTCAGTCATCTACCCGCTTGGTCCAGCAACTTAACCCGCTATCTCCTTGACCAGCTGATGCCACCACACTGACCCATCTCTTGTTTAGCACTTGGTCCATCTTTTCCGTACTTTTTTCTCATCACGGTGTATCTGGGGATGGTTCAATATAGGATGGTTGGAAAACTTGCTTAAAACAAACAAAAAACAAATGGAGAATTGTAGAAGCTGGCTCTACTGTTCCGCATTTTCGCGGGTTGAGAAGACAAGTGTCCTGTAATGGGACATTGTTGGATCGACAGCGAGATCGGAAGAGAGTTGGTTTTAGCTTGCTTTTCTGACGTCTGTATTGCCATAGCCAGTATTACATTTGCTTGATAAGGATTTCATCATAGTATAATATGTATCAGTTTTCCCCTTTTCTTTATTTTAACTTTTAATTTTCGTTTGTTTATTCCGTTATTTTATGTATTTTTCTTATTCACTCTCTCTCTCTTTCTCTAATTAAGAGTATAGTTCTTATATGACTGCCGTCTGTTGTCTGTATTGAAAAATATTTTGTCACTAAATTTGAAGTAATTCTATTTTTTATTACTATTATCATTTAATTACAATCTTAAGCTTTAATCCTTAAGATACGCAGAGAAGGAAGTCAGTGTTGGTGATGTTTGAAGCTATTGTGTTGGAGCCTTGTTTATTAAATTATATAAATATGATTTTTATATACATAGTTGTGAAGCGTAACATTAGTCTTGAGGATGTATAGCACTTGGTAACTCAGTGCCACTTGATATATTTAATATTGTTATGTGGATGTTTTATGGGGGGGCAAAGTTCGAAAGAGAGGTGTGCCTAACAGGTAAGGAATGCCATTCCACACTTACGATGTGAAAGACTTTCAAAACTTGAATTACAGTTGCTTGTTGAATAAAATAATGGATGAAGAGAACACTAGATGCATAATGTTTTCTTCAGTCAAAAAGCATGTACTACACTTGAGGTAAAGTTTACATAATGAGTGAAAGGGGAATGGATGCAAGTTGGTAGGCAGAAGGATGGAAGATTACAATATGCATAATTGTAATTTGATGCAAGTAAGTTTATGGAATTTACTGGCATGTTGGCTCACAGTGAGTGACACTGCTGCAAACGGAAGAACAAGGCTTGTGGATGGGGTTTAGCAGAGCACTTTCTCCTTTCATAAGGGATCATTTCCTTATCTTTTTCCAGCAAAATCATTAAATGCTGAGGATGTTTTGCAATTCTAGTTGAAGGAAGCTAATTGAGATCAGATTTTGATAATGTTTGGAGTGCCAATATTGTCAGTTGCTCTTCAATGTTTGTTAGACAAGTAAGTATCTAGATTCTGCTGAAACTTTTTCTTCACTTAACCCTTTAAATCTGGACCCTGGAAGTGTTAAGTTTTATCTAATTAATTGAAGATCTTGAATTTGAAATAACTATTTACAGCATTACATTCGGGAATTTAGTTTTAAGAAGTAGTGATAAAGAATTTGAAAAGCATGAAAGATAAGAGTAACCTCTTTTCTTCCTAACTCTAGTGACTGGATGTAATGGGTTAAAAAGAATTACCTATTTTTATTTTATCACTTCTCAATATTCTTAGATGGTTATGTATCTAAATCATGATAATTAGAGAGGCAAGCCTTGTTCTTCATGAAAGCAGATTGAAGTTTAAAGATTTACTTTATAAGGATTTTTTTTCTTTTTGTACTTTTTGCAGTAGAATTGCCAACATCATATCATAATTGTCATCATCCAAGTGCCATTTTAGTGTGAGTGTTATGAGGTTTCTGACACAGGCGGGATGACGTTTTCAGTCAGTCGCATTTCGTCTTGTGTCTCTGCCAGTCTCTGGTTGAAACCCGGTCGCAAATGAAGGTGTTTGAGCTTAGGAAGGAAGTTGGCTGTGGGGACAGGATGGCTTCACAAATAACTATAATGATAAGAGTATTAATTATGTCAGAGCTTTATAATGTGAAGAAAAGTTTTGCCAGTCTTCAAAGAAATTATAGCTCAGTTGTCCACAAGGATAATCAGCCCTGCATATTTTTGTGACGTAGCCATCTTGACCCTGAGCTGCAAACAGTATAGGGTGAAACTTCCCCGTGGAAACTGTCGAGGAAGTGCATCTGAAGGGGGAGATTGAGGCTCGGATGTAGTGTTGGATCATCCCCTCATTCTCTCCTCCCATCTCCCCACAACCCTGGACAAGGCTTGCCTTGTCCTACCTGACATCGACCCAGCAGTTGAGCCTTTCGCCCTAAAGCACAAGGCAAGTCCTGTCTGCCAACGGTAGCATCTTGTTCCAATTAGGGAAGGAACGTGACGGGTGGGTTGACATGAAAACGGGGATTCACTTCAAGGGTCACTGATGCTCTTTGAATGGATTTGATCAACAAATTTCACTTGCTATTTTCCCCAAATTCAGAGAAGTCTTGTACATTCCACTTTGATCAGTGCTTTGAATATTTCAGATATTTCACTGAAGTTAGTCAGAGATGAAATAGATTCCATCTAATTTTGTCAAGTCTTGATTTAAAATGGGGAGTAAGAAATTAATTTATTGAATACATGCAGTAAATACTAATCATTTTAAGCTTATCTGGATTCTGAAAATCAGTCATTATTTTATTTAGATAGTTTTTCCTTTATTAAGATTAAAGAGAAAAAAATACAGGTCAAAGCACATGTAACAGTTTATAAATTAAATAGAATCATGGGAAAATACTTTAAAATCCCTGGGAACACTTGTTTTGTTTGGCATTTGCTAAATCTTGCCTCTTGCATAGGGTGCTGGAACATCAAAGCCAATTAGGAACTGGTGATTATGAGAAACACTAGCACATCATTTTCATTTGTGCATACAAGAGTTTTGTGTTTATAATTAGTGCAAATCTTAGTTCTCAGTTCTGTGTTAGATTATAAAGAAGGAAAAAAAAAAGAATGGTCACTCAGAGACTTTTGTTTTTATTTCTCAGTGCATGTTCATAGTTTTGCTTCAGGGCCTACATATTTACATTAATGTTGATGTATTCATAAATATATTTATATATATATTATATACAGTATATATATATATCCTTTTAAGGTTGTAGCTCTTTGTAACTGAAAGGATATTGCCTCTTAGTATATCTTTTAGTGTAGGGCCAGCTATATCTTGTGGTCACTGTATGTGTGTGTGGGCGTGTACATGGCTGTCTGTGTGTATGTGCGTGTGAAACAGAAAACCAATATCTGAGGGTTTTTTATGCCTGTTGTTTTGTGCTCTTGGATATTTGTTAGATTTTCATGTTCTTTGAATGTGCCCTGATGACGTCAGTTTGGTAATCGACGTCTAACTTGTGTGACATATTTTTTCAGAAACAGGAGGAAGAGAAGGAGAGAGAGAGGAGGTTGAGAGAGAAGGACAGGGAGCGGGAGCGAGACCGCGAGCGAGAAAGGGAGCGGGAGAGAGACAGAGAGAGGGAACGAGAAAGGGAGAGGGAGCGAGAGCGAGAGCGAGAAAGGGAGAAGGAGAGGGAGCGAGAACGGGAGAGGGAAAGGAGAGAACGGGAAGAGAAGCTGAAGCGGAGGTCTCGTTCAGGTTCCCGAGGAGGCAGCTTGCGAAGGTCACGCTCTCAGTCAGTGGAAAGCCGCAGAGTGAAGAAAGATAAAAGGTATTCCAGATCTAGGTAAGTGTTTTGAAATGATGATGACAAAAAACAAAAAAAACAACAGAAACAGGTAGCATATTTGGAATTGTTAGTTTTGATTGTCATTATCCTCTTGCCTTTCTCATTTTCATTTCTTGTCGCTTTTGCAATACTGAAATGAAGTCTGTTATTTTTCGATTATTATTTTTTATTTCCCTTTATCTCACAGATCACCCTCACCTGTACGAAAGAGTGAGAGGGATTTACTAAGGGAGAAAGAAGAAGAAGCAGAAGACAAAGAACGCAAGGAACAGGAGAGGAAAGTTCGGAAAAAAGAGATGCAGTATCAGGTAAAAGATTTTGATGTTGATATTTGTATTTTCTTTTTTTCTTTCAGTCTTCTCCCTCTTTTTATCCTCCCCTCATCTTTCCCTTCCTCCCCCATCTTGTCTTTCCCTGTTCATCAGTCTTTCACTCATTTTCTGTATCTGCTGACATTTAATGAAACGTTCAGATCTAGTCATTCTTTTGCCCTTCATTCAGGTGTATTTTTTTTCTAGTATTCAAGAAGCTACCTTTTTTTTTTCTTTTCCTTTTTCCAGGAGAGATTAAAGAACTGGGAGACACGTGAGCACAAGAAGCAGAAGGAGCTCGACCGTGAGAAGGAAAAGGACCGCATGAAAGAGCTGGAGAGAGAGAAGGAGGCAAGGAGGCTCAAGGAGTTCCTCGAAGACTACGATGACGAGAGAGACGATCCCAAATACTACAAGTTAGTGCCTGGCTTTGAGATGGGTATTTTGGAAAAGGTGTATAAATACGTGTGGGTGTGATTGTGAGATTGTGCTTTTTTGTGTTTATAGATTTCTGTGCAGGTTTGTGCGTTAGGATTTGTGTGATTGCGTTTCTCTACAGGTTTGTGTATATGTGAGATTGCATTTCTCTCTTTTATTGTGAGTGAGAGATGTTTGTTGGTAGATATTGTATATATGCAGGTTTACAGACAATATGTGTAATTACAGTGTAAATTGTTATTTATGAAATTGTTTTAGTAAGCATTATTTATAGAAGTTTTCTTACTCCCCAACTTCCCAATTTGCAGAGGCCATGCATTCCAAAGAAGACTTATGGAGAGGGAGCAAGAGAAGGAGATGGACACTCGGGACCGTGTCAAGGAGAAGGAGGAGCTGGAGGAGCTGCGAGCCAAAATTCTTGCTGAAGGACATGATAATCCGGATGCTGCATTCCAAAAGGTGGGCGAGAGGGAACTCCAGAGATTTTTAAACTTGTGTATTGAAAAGGGTGCTTATGTGGTAGCAGAGGGAGATCTGAGTTATGGAGAGGATTGTAAAATTTTATTGGAGCAGAAATTCCTTGATATAAACAAAATTAAACCTTTTTTTTCAACAGAAATAAACAAATTTTTGTTGTTTTTCTTCTTGCTAATCATAGGCTTGTGCTGAAAGAGAGGAACAGTACAGGCCGAAGCTGCTTGTTAAACCTGCAGAGAAGAAGATCCCTCCCCCAGCCCCAGCGCCTGTGGAGGCCCAGCCAGCGTTACCCCAAGCCCCAGAACAGCCACCTCTGCCTAGCGTGCCAGCAGAGTCAGACTCAGATTCAGACGGCCACATGTCTGATGCCCCACCTGAGCCCATGCCAGATATGGAAGACAGTCCTTCGCAGGGTGGTGACTATGAAAGTACGATATTATTCCTAGCTTTCCTTTTAATTATTGTTTTTTTTTTTCGTTACTTGTTTAACAGGAAGATGGTGGTTGTTCATTTTTTATTTATATTTCTCTTCCAGATATGGAAGACAGTCCTTCTCAGGGTGGTGACTATGAAAGTACGATATTATCACTGGTTTTCCTTTTAATTATTTTTTTATCTAAAAAAAAAAAAAAGGAAGATTGAGGTTGTATATTTTTTATTTATATTTTTCTTTTGATGTATAGATGAATAAAGTAGTTAATAGAGGCTCACTTCTTTTATATCTTCCTAATAAGAAATAATGAATTTTCAGATTCGTTCCTGTCGTCCTCTGAGAGTACACATCAGCCCCAAAAGAGGAAGAAGTTGGATGTCAAAGATGTCTTTAACCAAGATGATGATGACATTTTGGCCAAAAAGAAGAAGCTGCCGTTGCCAGGTTGGTTGACTATTGAGACTCTTGTCACGCAATTTTGGCAACTGGGGTATGAGTTTTCTCTAAAGCAAATTAATGTACGAGTCTTTTATGTTGCAATGAAATTTTACCCTTTTTTCACCTAGAGGAATGAAAGAGGACCTGTTGTTTTATGATGCTTTCATGTGCCTCTTTATTTGCAGAGCGAACACTTACTGCCAAGGAGGATCCTCTGCAGAAACTATTGAGAAATACAATCGAACCAGGTAATGAATATTTCCTCAGTTCTGAACAGTTTTCTTGATATTATTTGTACTCAGCATGAATATTTTGTGATTAAATGTGTTCATTTGATATATAACTGATTTTTTTTTCTATAATGTAATGGAGTTTCATTAACCAATGGTACATGAATAGTCATAGGTCTCAATCTATAGGAAATTGATGTACCAGTCCATAATCCATACTCAGTGACTGTAATATTTGATCCTAATACTAATTGTGGTTAATTATATTTATGAATAAAGTTGCAGGTAAACATTTACATTGATAAGTTCCAGTCATGGCTAGTATAGACATGCTACTTTAGACCATAGAATTATAGATGGATTAATAGATGGATAGAGTGATTAACTTGTAAAGATTTATCAAACACACAAGACATATTGTTTACTTCAGGCAAAGACAAAAGTGGCAAGGAGAAGGGTGGTGGCGAAGAGAAACGCAAACATATCAAGAGCATGATTGACAAGATTCCTACGAGTAAAGAGGAACTCTTTGCTTACCCAATTGACTCGTCTCTTGTTGATAATGTAAGTGTGCCGAGCAATTTTTTTTGTCATTATCATTATTATTTTATATTTTTTATTGAGGAATTATGATTTTCAATACTTGGTGAGTGAATGTGATAAGCTACTTATAAATTTGTCTCTTTTCAATCATATCTAACATCTGTATTTAATTTTGGTACGAACAGCTGATTTCTAAGATGTACCTCTCATTTCACAGGTCCTAATGGAAAAGAGAATTCGTCCCTGGATCAATAAAAAGATCATAGAATATATTGGAGAGCCAGAACCCACGTTAGTCGACTTCATCTGCTCAAAAGTTCTGGTTGGATCCGAGCCACAGTCCCTTCTCAACGATGTACAGATGGTAAGGGACACTTTCAGTTGAACTTGTGGATGATATACATATATTTATGAATAAGTATTTTTGAGTATCTTATTAAATTGGAAGCTAAGGAAATAGATAAAGAAAAAAGTAAATAAAACATTTGTAAAACTGTGTATAGATTAATAGAAACGTGAGTTGATAGATAAGCAAATATGCAAATAGATTTGTAAATATATAGTACATGACTTGTATTGAAAAAATATACATATGTAAATGATTGTACATATTAACACACATTTGTTTCATTGTGTTCTGAATCTCTCTCTGATTTTTTTTCTCTTCCTTTGCAGGTCCTTGACGACGAAGCCGAGGTGTTTGTGGTGAAGATGTGGCGATTACTCATCTACGAGATAGAAGCAAAAAAATTAGGTGCTGTAAAGTCTTAATTCCCCCCCCCCCCCCATCTCACCTATGTTAGGAGGGTCGAATTAGCCGTTGTAAGGTTATTTTATGTATCATATTACAGTAAAGAGAAAGTCAATCAGGGTACTGTGTTTTTATTGTACATATTTTGTTATATCAGTGAATGTTATTAAGACACACCAAAACTGTTGGCTTATTCAGGTATCTTACTTCTTTTAAGCACAAAATGTATCAGTTTGTAATAACTTTTTTATTTGGAATTTTACAGTTCAGGTTTATGAACAGTGTATTGTCTTCAGTGTATTTGTATTATGACAATTGAAAGTAATTGCAATAAAGAAATTATTTTTATTATTATTATTATTATTGTTTTTATTATTATTATTATTATTATTATTATTATTATTATTATTATTATTATTATTATTATTATTATTATTATATTATTATTATTATTATTTATTATTATTATTATTTGATAATTATAAATTATTAATGATGATTATTATTATAATCTTTGTTATTAGTTATTATTATCACTGATAATGATCAATTTTTTTCATGTAGATATTTTTGTGTCAAGACCGAAAGAAAAGAAGAAAAGAACTGAAAAGAAAAAATGTGATTAGATTAATTTTACTTGACAATGTATCAACGTGCATTTTCATACGAAGCAATCACACCTCTTCATTCTTGCAGAACCTTTATTTTGTACTACTTGTCTCCCCTCTTTGACACTTGACAATATTTGATGATAATGATCATTAACAATAATAAAACTCACATTATGCCAATGATCTTGTCAGGCACACCCATTCCACCCCAGAGAAGGTCTTTACGATTCTGCTGGCTCAGAATGCCCGTGTGCGGAAACGGTACCTGCTTTTCTTTTGTCATTCTATTTATTCCTCTACTTTTTTGTCCACTTTATTATTTTTTATGACCATAGGTTAGTGAATAGTGCGTGTGTGAGGTAATGTATGTGAAGTGGCAGTGCCAAGGTTTTGAGAAATCATTGTGGGAGTTTGATTTTTTTTTTTTCAATTTTGAGTTATTCAGTTTTTCTTTCTTTTTTTCTTTTTCTTTTTATATATGACCATAGGAAAGGAGAGAATTTTTGTAGCCACTACATTTGTACAAGTAAGAGTTTAATAGAAATTTACATCCTGATGGTAATAATAATTGTTATTATAGATAAAAAAAAATTGTAGTCGATTTGGTTACTTTTATAAAGTTTGAGTAATTGTGAATTATTTTTTCATGAAGATGATACTTTTTGGAGAATGTAGATGTGCTTGATATTTTTACCTTCTTTATGTTAAAAAAGCTCCCATCCCTTTCAGCTATAAACTTTTTTTTTATATACAAATTCCAGATCTTGTTGAAGTAAAAACATCTTGAAACTCAGCGAAGAGAGAGTATGGGTATCTCTTAGACATAAATTCATGGTGCAAACTCTCGTAATGGATACAGGTCTCCCATCTGAGATTTACAGTTTGGTGTATGGATCTGTCCTGTGATTGTAAATAAAGTCAGGTTTACATATCTGTTACTTTTATTTGACTTCTCCTTTTAACAGGAGTTTGGTTGTGTAGTTCAGATTAACAAAGAGGGACCAGAAATAGGATACAATTACTTGAAAAGACTGATAACATGTATGAATTAGAAAACCTTCTCTAATTTTGCTCCTCATATCTTCTCTTTAATGACTTCAGGACAAAGGTAAATTTACATCTGACCGAATGAAAATGACATGTGAATCATCATTAAAAGTTGTGGTTTCAAGCAAAATTCGTCTTGAAAATTTATAATATTAAATGTTGTTTAAAAGTCATTGGGCACATCCCCCCTTGTCTAATGACAAGGTGATGGAAAATTCAGTCCTACAGAATGATGACAAGGCAGAAAAGAAGTTTCAGTAAAGAAAAAATTGGTCGTGCAGAACATTTTCTATTCTTTTTGTATGTATAATTTGTTGTGTATATTTAGTGATGGCATTTCAAAAAAGGTTATTTAGAATAGTGCAAAATGGAAACTTTAAAATTTACAGAATGATAAAGAATTTGTATTGCTCACTTTTCATTGTAAATAGTAAGAATGTATGTTTTGAGGTCCTCTTTCTATATGTATTTGGTAAGATAAAATACTCATTTACATATTTGAACTTTTAAAGTTTTCAATTTTTGCCTGTATGAAAAAATCAAAACTATACTGAATCAATTGGCGAAATTTAGTAGCTCATGGTGGTGAAAAAAGATGATCAAATAATGGCAATTAACTATTACAGATAATGTTTGTTTGATGATTGAATTAGCTATGAGAAATATTACCAATGTCATTTGAATGAGAAGTTCCCTCTTCTGTAATCTACACAATTTATGCAGAGATTCTCATGAGCGTTAGGTATACCTTGATGCTCTCAGTGATACATAAAAGCAAAAATGCTATAATCACAAAATCTATACAAGAAATCTTTATTGCACTATTAACATCTAAGGTGACAACGTCCTGCTGGAATTTCTAGTTTGCTAAAACCTTTAGTACAGTTTAAGCATTAAAACAAATGAGGGAAGCCTTGGTGACGTCACACTAGGCAATTGGCTTATACTGCAGTTGTGTAAGCTCATCTTTTTTGACGGAATTTGTCTTTTCAAGAACGAAAGAGATCAAGTTTTAGAATGGAAGTCTATGTGTTTAAGTTAGGAAATTCAGATGACGTAGCAGATGATATGGAAACTAATGATGCCTTTGGTCCACTCGGGCAGAAAAAAAAGGGAAAAAAGGGCGTATGTAGGACAGATAAATGAGGGGAAGAAAGACATACGGGTGAAGAGAGAGAGCATGAAAAATGAATGAATGAATGGATGAATGAGAGAGAGAGAGAGAGAGAGAGGAGAGAGAGAGAGAGAGAGGAGAGAGAGAGAGAGAGAGAGAGAGAGAGAGAGAGAGAGAGAGAGAAGAGAGAGAGGGCGAGCGAGAGAGGGCGAGAGAGAGAGAGAGAGAGAGAGAAGAGAGAAGAGAGAGAGAAACATAATGAAAAGAGATGCTGAGAACGAAAGAAAAATCAGACTAATGACGGAAGAAAGAGGAAAAATACATACAATAGATAGTGGAAAGTAGTTCAAGATCTATGAAATTTAATCATCAAGATTCTTAAATCCCACATTGTCCACCGCTCGATGGTTTTGTTTTTTCGACGCTCTTTTGTTTTTATTTCACGTCTTGCGCAAAAAAAGTCAGGTTGAGCTCATTAACTCTTTAGAATTTCCCTCAATTGATGTATTTTTGCATCGAAGCGTTTCAATCAGGTTATTTTCTGCACTGGATATTTTTAAAGTTTTTCTCTTTTTTTGACTTCTCATCTTTGTCTCCCCACTTCCCCATTCTCTGGCTATTTTACTGTTTCTGTGTGTCTGTTTCTCTCTCTGTCTCTGTATGTCTGTCTATCTGTCTGTCTGTCTGTCTGTCTGTCTGTCTGTCTGTGTCTGTCTGTCTGTCTGTCTGTCTCTGTCTGTCTGTCTGTCTGTCGTCTGTCTCTGTCTGTCTGTCTGTCTCTCTCTCTCTCTCTCCTCCCTCTCCGTGTTCTCCCTTTCCTTTCTTCTCCCTCTCCCTTCCCCTTTCTCCCCTATCCTCTCCTTCACCCCTCTCCCCTCTCCCCTTTTCTCCTGTCCTCCACCCTCCGCTTTCCTCCTCCCTCTTCCTTCTCCTTTCTCCCTCTTCCCCTCCCCCTCTCTTCCCTCTATCCCTCCCCCTCTTTCCTTCTCTCCTACTCCCTCCCCCTCTCCTCCTCCCTTTCCCCCTCCCCCTCCTCTCATCTCCCTCCCTCCCTCCCCCTTCCTCCCTTCCCCCCTACTTCCATCTCCCCCTCTCTCCTTCTCTCCCCTCTATCCTCCCATCTCCTCCCTCTCCCCTTCTCTCCCTCCCTCTCTCTCCTCCCCTTCCTCCCATCTTCCTCCCCCTCCTCCCTTTCCCCTCCTCTCCCTCCTCTCCTCCCTTTCCCTCCTTCTCCCTCTCTTCCTCCCTTCCCTCTCTCCCTCCTCTCCCCCTTCCCCTCTCCCCCCTCTCTTCCTCCCTCTCACTCCCTCTCACCTCTTCCTTCCCCCCTCTCCCTCTTTCCTCCCTTTCCCCTCCTTATCTCTTCCTCTCCCCCTCCTCCCCTCCTCCCATCTCCCTCCTTCTCTCCTTCTCCCCCTCCTCCCATCTTCCTCCCTCCCCCATCCCCGCTCTCCCTCTCACCTCCCTCCCCCCTCTCCCCTCTCTCCTTCCCATACCAACAAACCGGAAGTATTTTCCCCCTTATCGCACGTATTATCGGATAGCAGGTTGTATACCTCTCGAAGGAGAAGACGTGGCGGTCCTTTTGATGTCTCTGGCTATCGATTTAATTAGCTGCGTGTTTGTACTTTTTAAAATTTCTTTTCATTTTTTGTTGTTTTTCGTTTTTTCGTTTTTTTTCTCGATTTTTCTTGTTTTTTTTTTTTTTTTTTTTTTTTAGTTTTTTTCTTTCTGTCTTTATTTCTTTTTGTATATCTCTCTCTCTCTCTCTCTCTCTCTCTCTCTCTCTCTCCCTCTCTCTCTCTCTCTCTCTCTCTCTCTCTCTCTCTCTCTCTCTCTCTCTCTCTCTCTCTCTCTCTCTCTCTCTCTCTCTCTCTCTCTCTCCCTCCCTCCCTCCCTCCCTCCCTCTCTCTTCTCTATATATTTATATATATATATATATATATATATATATATATATATACATATATATATATATATATATATATATATATATATATATATATATATATATATATATATATACATGTATGTATGTGTGGGTGTGTGCGTGTGCATGTGTATGTGTGTGTGTACGTGTGTGTGTGTGTGTGTGTGTGTGTGTGTGTGTGTTCTTGCGATGAATAAACTGTATATATGTATGTATACATGAGCGCATGTGTGTATATACAGTACAAAGCTTCTGATGTGGAGCGTGTATGTCTGTATGTGAATATATATGTATGTGCATATGCGCTTGCACGTACACATATGTACGCAATTATATCATTTCTTCTTAACACGAACACAAACAAATCGAAATAAAAAAACACCTAAAATTATTCAACAACAACATATAAAAATAAAAT